CCACAACAATCGATGGCCATAAGGATATTTGATAGTTAAGTATTTATACTTATGAACAAAATGAGTCTGCGATTTCTATTTCTAGTTGTTGCAAGCATTAAAGATCATTAAATAATTTAGAAAAGAAAATCATTAAAATTAAAATGCAAAAATGATTGAATATAGTCAGCAATGGTCAAGGTTCAGTCACGCTGCCATCCATCCATGCCATCCGCGTGTCACGACGCGAATCTGTCTGGCACTTCATCGATGGGCGCATCGATGGCGCGCAAAGAGTTGGCCGACACGAAACCATAAACAAAACGTTTTAGTTGCAACAACAATCCGCCTAACAGCAGCCAGCTAACGACGCCTGCGCCTCTCCCCTCCCAGCACACTTAAGACTTTGATGGATGGGCGAGACGGGCGTCTCGGTGGCCCAAAAGTTGCACTACATTTTCATTGAAGATGTGAATAAATTCTCAGGGGCTAAATGAAATTCACACTTGCATATCGTTTGTGCACCCGTATATAAATATATTTATATGTATGTAAATACATATGTATGTATGTACACACATGCGAGCATTCCATCTGCAGACAATAAGTCCAAGTCCTACGATAACGTCCCACGCATTCCCCATAGGACCCCATTAATCTCAAATTTCTTTCCCTCTTTCCACCCACAACTATTCACACTCAAACTCACACACACACACACATACTAAAACCATTCGAATACTGGAATATAAATAGCACCGACAAGGCGCGTGTTGATCCAATGTTTTGCGCTAATTTATGGTAGACAATCATAAAACATCTTAATGAGCAGCAACCAAACACTTGCTCAATCCCCATCTTATGGCACTGATCGGGGGGATTTCTTTCGGGGAAAAGAGAATTTAAATTTTCTTGACATTTATTTGTTGATAATTAACGCGGTGAAAACTTGGCCATTTAATAGCTAATTTTCCTGGCTATCTCTATTCTAAGTGTCATTAAATATTTAAGAAAGAAAGGGCGAGGCTTCGATTAACTTACTTCGGGTTAAGCAGCGGCGAGGCAGTGCCTCTGACTGCAGTTTATACATATACATATTTATATAATACATATGTATTTAATATCGAATCATAGTAGAAGAAGCCGTTAAATCGTAAAGCTGGACCTGAAAAAGAGACGAACGAGCGGTCGGACGGGGAGAGTGAAAGTCAGAATCATATGAATATCCCGAATTGCAGGCGAAAATTTTTATATATACAGATTCTTTTTATATAAAAAAAATGGTTCAATTTTGCAACTTAAAATTAATGATTAATAAATGATTTTTTTATTATAATATTCATTATTTTTTTATAAAAAAAAACTTAAAATAAGTATTAATTAAGTAAAGGGGCTCTGCGTTTGACTTTTCACCAATATTATTTCATATACCTGTAAAGGGTCCACAAAGTTAACCCCCGCGGTTAAATGTTCTTTTGACTTGGCCTTCCTCGAGTGACCATTATTATTATTATTATTATTATTATTATTACATGTTAATATTTACAAATGAATATAGAACATGATTATAATCAGCTAATTAGCTGTTTGCTAATCGCGTTTCATGCTCAGGTGTCCAAATCACATTGGAATATCTAATGCAAACTTAAATACAAAAAAAAAATATGCCCCCCCACTTGTAGCCACATTCACTTAGAGCAGTCCTTAAGCTACTAAATACGCTTTCCTTTTTCCATTACGTAACAATCAATTCGTCCCTTTTTTTGCAGTCTCCTTCCTTCGTGCTGAGAGGATACAAATCACATTTAGGCTCTTGAAACTTTAAAGATTTTGACCCTGTGCTCCATTCGAAATGCAGAATGCACGACAAGGACTAAAACTTGCAATTGAAGGCATTTCAAAGCGGCCTCTTCCACACCATCATACGATGCCATTGATGCATGATGTAAGTGTAAGAGGAGGGTGAGTAGGAGTTGGAGGTGCAAGCTTACCCAAAGGCTTGTCCCAAGATGGGGCCAACTGAATGGCAAGCCAATGCCTGAATGAGTGACAGTCTTAATTACAGAGAGATTAGCATGGTGGACTGGGAATGGCACTGCAACTGCAACTGGGGAGTGGGACTGGAAGTGGAAGTGGGACTGAGAGTAAGACTTCTGAGGAACGAGAAGGCAGACAATGTTGCATGTATTCAATGTCACGTTCCAGTGGAGATCCCACGACTTTGGTGATGAAAGTGCTTGAGCCAGGTGAGTGCTATGGCAAATGACAGGCGGCTCGGCTCTCCAGATGCTGCTGCTGCTGCTGCTCCTCCTCCTCCTCCTCCTCCGCCTGCTGCTGCTGCTCCTTCTGTGCCTGCTGCTCCTCTTCCTGTTCCGCTTCAACTTGATTTCTTTTCTTTTTGTTTTCTTCCTTCTTTTTGTTGTTCCGCTCCCTTGTTACATTTGATTGTCGCAAACGAAGTGGAAACGCAAATGTTGCACAAACACACTCACACACACACACACGCATGCCATGGCAGCAAGGCGGGGGGCGGTGGCGTAGGTGGCGGTTGGGTGCAGAAGCAGGAGCAGGAGAGTAACGGAAATGCACACTAATTACTCCTTGGAAGTGGGAATGATGGATACAAAGGAACAGAGCAGAACAGAACGGAGCAGAACAGAACAGAAAATAAGGAGCAAAAACCCTTCTTGCTTTTACGCTCCTCTCCCCTGACCAATGCACAATTTGTTCTACCCTCACAGATTGGCCCAGCTATGATTGTTATTGAGTAAGCTAATCGCTGAGTAGCAATGAACATTCGTGAATAAAGCCAAAATATAATTTTGAATAAAAATCTTAAAATAAATCCGTCTTAAATAATTAAATCTGTGGCAAAATTCCAATTATAATCCATATAATCCAGAGATTTATTCAACGGGCAGATCCTTGGTGAGGGTACATAAAACTTCGGTGCTGCCTCCTTGCTTGTGGCTGCTTCGCTTTGCTTCTGCTTCTGCTTCTGCTTTGGCTGCAGGCTTTTCTTACATTCTTTCTGGCATTCATTCAAAAGCGCCTCCCTCATTCGCCCCACACCCCCCACCAACCCACCCCCCGTATGATAATTGAAATGGTGAGCTGAGCCGCCAATGGGGTTATGGAGCGTTGCAGGGAATGGGCATACAGCCGGGCGCGGGGGCCGGAGGCTGGGGGCTGGGGTCCCGCGTCGGGGTGTGGTGTAGCCAAGTCAAACACAATAACCCTGCACCAGAGAAAAACCGAAAAAAAAGAGAAAATTTAATAACTCGGCACGCTGCGCAATGATAACACAAAAGGGCCAATTCAAATTTCGATTTCGAATTCAAATTCAAATTTGCATTTCCAAGGGAGTAACGGCCGCCGCGGCGGCGCCCGAAGCGACGGTTGTAGATTTCGTTTAAGGATCACAGCCCGAAGAAGCAGACGGCATTTTTGTGAGTGTAACATCAATATGAAAGGCTTCAAAGCCCCACAGCACATACTCGTACATATGTGGCAGGATGTGGCAGAATGTGGCAGAATGTGGCAGAATGTGGCAGAATGTGGCATAATCAGCTGTGCGCTTAGTTTCCAAGGAAAACTCAAAACTTCGGTCTGATCGATCTTCAAGACCATCAATGAATTTTGCTTTCATTTACCATTTCTGGGTGCAACGTGCTCCATTCTGCAACAGTCACGTCCAAGAGCCAGTCGAGAGAATACTCTTTTTAGCCCCTGGAAGCTGGCGAAGAGTTTCACTGTGGCCCATAGGCCCACAGTAAGCTTTGGCCATCGATCAATCTTGAACCTGAAAACGTCCCCATTTAAGCCAAATGCTAAATCAATTATTGGTTGTTGGTGGCCGATGCCACTTCCCTCATTCAGCTGCAAGCCAATTTATTAGCAGTTGGAACAAGTCGAGTTGGAGCCGTGCAGCTAAATAAGAAGACAATGAATCGACAGTGAATGTTGTGTGTTTGTGGGTGTTGTAAGACAAACAGACAGCCTGGCAGCAAGAGAGAATTTTGATTATTTGCTGATAGCTGTGCTCAGGGAAATCAATTAGTGCGCCCGAACGCCTCTCAGTTTTTGCGAAACGAACGCAAAAGCAAAGAAGAATTAACGTTAACATCGCCAGGGCCGAGAACTGCAGCATTAGAGTTGGTCATGACAATGGAGTGTGCTACGAGTAGTATCCAAAGAATTAACGAAGAACTCTGCCCGTTGATGATTGGCAGATAATAGTGGAGCAGCAGCAATTTTGTTTATTTTTGTTTAACTCACAAGTTTAACAGGATAACCTGCAACGGTTGCAGAGGCATGTTAATTTAGCAGTGAGCTAACAGCGAGTGATGACAACGCGTGTGAGAAGAGAGAGGCTTTCGCATTCCGTTATTCACTGCATGATGTGAGAGCGAAAGACGAGGAGAAACAAATGCCGATATCTAAGTCCGAACTTTGGATTAGCCTACGCTGCTAATGTTTTTCACTTTAGAAGCTGTGGTATCGCGACTCAGCTGTACAGCTGTGGTTGCCTTGGCAGAGTTAAATTGTTAATTTGGATGGAATTTATTGTCATTCTTGCTTTGGAGCCGCATAGCGCCATAACCTGCAGAGCTTACATCACAGGCGACAGTCATTAGTGACTATCAGTGATGCTCCCAGTGCATGGGTACATTTATTGTGCTAATCGCTAAGCCAGAGAGATTAGATATTGGAAGTTGCTCGATGGAAAAAGGCAAACAAAGACATATATGTACTTATGAATTTATTAATCCGATTAAAAACAAAGCGTAGTATGTACTAAACAAGTATATGTGTATGCATGTATGTACATGTCTGGTAATATTATCTGACTAGTGCTCTGTGGAAAGAGTTGCAATATTTTTTCTCTGTTGCGGGGGCATAACAGCGCCGAGACTAACATACATACATACATTTACAGTATAAATTTCATACATATGTACATATGTATGCGGCCTGTGTTACCCAGATTGCCAATTGAATGCTAGCAGAAGATTATCGCTGATTGATTGGGTTACCCTCGTTTCGCGTTTCTATTCCGGTTCAGCCCGCAGTCAGCAGTCCGCACTCAGTTCGAGGCGGTCAGAGACTGCACATTGCTTCGACTATCAAACTAAGCAAGATGCCCATTTGGTTGCTGCTGCTGCTGGGCCTGGGACTGCTGCTGCTCCTTCAGAAGTGGCGGTTGCTGCGCCTGGGCAGCAGCCTGCCCGGTCCCTGGGCTTTTCCGCTGCTGGGCAACGCCCAAATGGTGGGCAAGCTGCGGCCCGAATGTGAGTACAAGCAGCAGCCGAGATCTGAGATCTCTCTCCCTATGCCCAATCTGCAGTCATATTTCTGGTCTTTACAGAGCTACGCGACCGCTTTGGCGCCACCTACCGCCTGTGGCTGGGGCCGCAGCTGTGGGTGTTCCTGCACACAGCAGAGGAGACGCGCGAGGCGCTGCACGATGCCACACTGCGCAAGGCGGAGACCTTCCTGCAGCTGGAGCCGCTCATCGGTAACGGGCTGCTAATTAGCCATGGCGCCCACTGGACGCAGCAGCGTCGCCTCCTCACTCCCGCCTTTCGGCCGATCCTCTTGCGGAGCTTTGCCCCCAGTGTGGCCAAGCATGCGGATCGTCTGATTCAGCGGCTCGTCGCGACCCGCGGCACCTTCCTCGAGCTAACGGATCCACTTTTTGCCTGTCTGCTGGACGCCATCGTGGGTAAGTGTGTCTTCTGTGCCCCGCACCGTACCCCGTGGGAGAGCTGCTCACTTCTCATTCTTCCATAGACACCTCCATGGGCGGGCAGCTGGATACGCAGTCTGTGGCGCACTCTCCCATCGTCGGTGCCTTCCACCGCAGCAGCCAGCTGCTGTTCAAGCGCATGATCAATCCCCTGCTGGCCTCCGACTGGGTCTTCCAGCGAACCCAACTGTGGCGCGAGCTGAGCGAGCAGCTCCAGGTTATCCACACGCTAATGGATTCATTGATTGAGCGCCGCTCCGCACAGCTCCAGCAACAGGCGGATGTAGCCCCCCGCAAGGCGCTCAACCTGCTGGACACGCTCCTTCTGGCCAAGATCGACGGCGAACCGTTGAGTCGAAAGCAGATACGCGACGAGGTCAACACTTTTGTGTTTGCGGTAGGTGGGTGGGGAGGGAGAGAGGCAGCAAGCATCTGATAACCCTGTTCTACCTGCAGGGCGTGGACACAACAACGGCGGCCATGTCTTTTGTCCTGTACGCACTGGCCAAGAATCCCGAGGCACAGGACAGGTTGCTGGAGGAGTTGCGGCAGCTGCCGCCCAATGGATCCACGGATCTGGATGCGCTCAATGAGCTGCCCTATTTGGATGCCCTGCTCAAGGAGGTGCTGCGCCTGTACACGATCGTGCCCACCACCGGACGCCAGACCACCTGCTCCACCGTCATCGGGGGCCGTACGTACTGCGCCGGTGTCACGCTCTGGATAAACATGTACGGCCTGGCCCACGATGCCAGCTACTATCCCGATCCATATGTCTTCAGGCCGGAGCGCTGGATGCAGGCGACGGCAACTCTGCAGCAGGATGTGGCCTCCTCCTCCTTCAGCTACATACCATTCTCGGGCGGTCCGCACGTCTGTATTGGGCGCCGCTATGCGCTGCTTCTGATGAAACAGCTGACGGCTCACATAGCGACTGCCTTTCGGCTGGAACTGCGCCCCGACGAGCCAGAGCTGACGCTGCAGGCTGCAGGGCATCCACGTGGCATTTAAAAAACGCTAACCAAGTCAGCCCTGGACGAGCGTCCGTCATGTGTGACATGTTGTAACATTTTCCAGTTGAATTTTGTACGCAATATACATATCCGATACGTTGTTTGTTTTGTTTGTTTAGTTTTGTAAAAAACCGTCAAGAGGTTATCGACCTCACTCTACTGTCTCACAAACTGTTAGACATAATGAAGAGCTGGAGAGTCCTAGAGGACCACTCCTTCTCAGACCACAGGTACATCGAGACTGTTCTATCGCTCGAAAGCACCAAACCCACTAACTATATCCATGCTCAGTCACTCCATGATAAGGAGGATATTCGTATGCCAATGGCCACCTGCAAGCTCAAAATAAATGAACATTTTAAGCAACTAATAAATGACAGATGGCAAACAGTGCCACTATGTCGCATAACTCGGCAAACATGGCCTAACATTACTAGGAAGCGCACTGATGAGCTCTGCAAACTCAGTAGGAGTAGGTGCAGCTCAGTCATACGCTCCCTTACGGGACACTGGCTAATAGGCACACATGCAAACAGGCTGGGCGCCCCATATAACGAGATGAGGACGAAGAGGAGACTGTGGAACACCTGTTGTGCTCCTGTCCGGCTCTCAGTAGAAGGAGACTTCAATACTTGGGTGCACCTCTCCTAATTGACATGTCGGACATGTCTACAATCAGTCCCAGACGGATCGCAGGCTTCATAAGGGCATCCGGATGGGACAACGGATAACATAGTGTCTCACGAGGGAAGAGGGAACGGCCTATGCGGTATCACAACGGGCCGAAGCCGGCATAGGTGTGTCGGGTTTCTGACGATCCCGACAGCCGCCTTAACCTAACCTAACCTAACCTTAGTTTTGTCCACACACGCGATGCGCGTTTTTACCACTCCTCCGGACGAGCATCGCCATCGACATGCTCCACCAGCAGTGTCGGAACGGGCGCAACTTCCTTCACGAGAACCGACTGGTGATGCGCTACCCACTGGCCGTTCCAGTGGCTCAGCCGTCGGTGAGGCACAACTACGAGATGCCCACGGCGGCTTCGCTGGCCAGGCACTCGGCGCCCACCCACAACAGCGCTCTGGGCGAGCGGTCTAGGCGCACGGCACTTCCCCGCACATCCACAGCCAGCGCCACCGCCTCGTCGGAGAAGCAAATCCAGACGGACGACATATGCGACGAGCTGTTTCTCAGCGCGGCCCTGCTCAAGTGTACCGAGCACGGGCAGTCACGGGCCACGCAAAGTGAGGGCGACGAGTGCAGCCCCCCTCTAGCTGTGGGCCTGAAGCACCCCAGGAAAGCCAACTGGGATATATATAGTGCAAAAATGGAGGAATTACTCCCTCCCAAAGCACCAAAATGCCCAGACACACAAGACGATCTTAATCGTCTTGTGGACAGCTTCACGGAAGCTTGCAATAAGGCCTTCGTGGCAGCCTGCCCCTCAACCAAACCAAGAAGGAAAAAGAAACCCCCCCTGGTGGTCTAAACAAATAGACACCCTCCGGAAAGACTGCAGGACTCTCTTTAACAGAGCCAAAAGCAGCAGCGAGGAAGCGCACTGGGAAAATTACAAAAGTAAGCTAACCCTATACAAAAAAGAAACAAGAAGAGCAAAAAGGGCCTCTTGGCAAAAATTTTGCTCCGAAATTGAAGACACGTCAGAAGCCGCAAGGCTACGCAAGATCCTGTCAAAAACATCCCCCTCGGTGGGATATCTCAAGAGAACGGATGGTACGTGGACAAACTCTAGTTAGGACTCCCTACACATTCTACTCGATACTCATTTTCCTGGGTGTACGACCATCGAGCCGGCAGACACCCCAAGTGAAGGCCCGGAAACCTCCATGGTGCACATCCTCACAAAACGGAATATTAGCTGGGCAGTAAACAGCTTTAAATCCTTCAAATCGCCTGGTCCAGACCAAGTCATTCTCAGTTACAAAAAGCCAGGGATATGGCCATCAACTGGCTGCAAAGTATCTTTAGGAAGATACTGACAGTGGGAAAAATCCCCCGCGCTTGGCTAAAGGCTAAAATTGTCTTTATCCCCAAAGCAGGGAAACACACAACCCCAAAAGACTTCAGACCAATAAATCTATCGTCCTTTCTTCTCAAAACTTTTGAGAGACTAGTCGGGCTGCAGCTGAGAACAACCATAAATCCTCAGTGCCTGTCAGGCGCACAACATGCCTACCGAAAAGGAAAATCCACGGAAATCCATGAAGTAATCTCGACAGTAGAGAAATCCCTACACATCAAAGAATACTCCTTAATAGCTTTCCTAGATATCGAGGGAGCCTTTAACAACGACATACCGGGAGCCATCACGGAGGCCCTGACTGACCTGGGAGTGGATCGTCACTTGGTGATGCTCATAGATCAATTGCTCACATGCAGGACGGTGACATCATCAATGGGATCGTCCACTCAGTCAAGGTATGTCAACAGAGGCACCCCGCAAGGTGGTGTCCTGTCTCCCCTTCTATGGAACATAGCAGTCAACAAGATTCTGTGTGACCTGGAAGGGAGGGCTGCAAAGGTGGTAGCATACGCGGACGACGTTGCCATTATCTTCTCGGGAAAATTCCCTCAAACACTCTGCGATCTAATGACCGCAAAGCTCGCGCGACTGTCAGAATGGAAAGAGTCGCGTGGACTGGGAGTTAATCCCTCTAAAACGGAACTTGTGTTGTTTACAACCAAATACAAAATCCCGTCCCTCAACCCCCCAATACTAAACGGATGCAGGCTCTCCTTCAGCGACAGTGCCAGTTACTTAGGGTTGGTAATTGACAAAAAGCTTAGCTGGAACCTGAGCATCAAAGACAGAGTGAAGAAGGCTACGATAAAATGGGGCATGAACCCAAAAATAGTCCAATGGATTTACCTAGCAATAGTAAGACCAATACTGCTCTACGGAGTCGCAGTGTGGTGGCCTGCCCTATCGAAGGGGACCATCACTAAACAACTGGGCAAGGTGCAGCGTACTGCAGCCCTATGCATCAGTGGAGCTCTGAGCACAACACCAACGGATGCGCTAAATGCTATCCTATGCCTGCAGACCCTTGACCTTGCAGGTAAGGAGCAGGCAGAAATGGCAGCAATCCGTCTTAGAGACTCTGACCAATGGGTGTCACATCACACCGGTCATGCGTCCATCCTAAATGGAAACAAAATCGTCCCCACAAAAACGGACTACTGCGTTCCGAGGGAGTATACAGATACCCCCTTCGAAACAATCATCCCTCACAGAAACAACTGGCTTGAGGGACCACCTGGTCCAAAGGGAGCCATTCGAATCTTTACAGATGGCTCAAAGCTGGACAACAAGGTCGGAGGAGGAATCTACTCCGAACAGCTGAACATAAGACACTCCTTCAGGCTCCCGGATCACTGCAGTGTCTTTCAAGCGGAAGTCATAGCGATCAAGGAAGCTTTGAGCTGTCCTCAGGAACTAGCCCCTGCGGCAACTCATATAAATATCTATAGTGATAGCCAAGCTGCGATCAAATCGCTGAATGCGATAACAACAAGCTCGGCTACCGTGGCAAACTGTCGCAAATATCTTCATGAGATAGCTTATCAGTTCGTCATCAGCCTAATATGGGTACCGGGCCACCAGGACATTGAAGGCAACTACATAGCAGACGAGCTGGCCAGAGCTGGTACAACAATCCCCCTTCTCCATGATAAGGAGGATATTCGTATGCCAATGGCCATCTGCAAGCTCAAAATAAAAGAACATTTTAAGCGATTAATAAATGACAGATGGCAAACTGTGCCACTATGTCGCATAACTCGACAAACATGGCCTAACATTACTAGGAAGCGCACTGATAAGCTCTGCAAACTCAGTAGGAGTAGGTGCAGCTCAGTCATACGCTCCCTTACGGGACACTGGCTAATAGGCACACATGCAAACAGGCTGGGCGCCCCATATAACGACTTCTGTCGAAGCTGTAGAGATGAGGACGAAGAGGAGACTGTGGAACACCTGTTCTGCTCCTGTCCGGCTCTCAGTAGAAGGAGACTTCAATACTTGGGTGCACCTCTCCTAATTGACATGTCGGACATGTCTACAATCAGTCCCAGACGGATCGCAGGCTTCATAAGGGCATCCGGATGGGACAACGGATAACATAGTGTCTCACGAGGGAAGAGGGAACGGCCTATGCGGTATCACAACGGGCCGAAGCCGGCCTAGGTGTGTCGGGTCTCTGACAATCCCGACAGCCGCCTCAACCTAACCTAACCTGTGTCTATATGCATACATGCGTGTGTCTAAACGATCTTCTAAATACTGTATACTAATAATATCATTAATCGTAGTTTTTGGATTCAGATTTCAAAACAATAAAAAAAACAGGATGCTGTCTTATTTGAATATACAGATGTGTTACCGTCGATTTCGTTTCGCCTATCGCACAAAAGTACCGATATTTTGTATGGACATCCGACAAGTAGAATCAAAAGTCTCGGGTGCATCCGATCCAACGAAATGAGACAAAAGAAAAATAGTGTCAACTTCGAAATCGGAAAAGTAGTTACGTCGATGATATATCCCCACATATATGTCTATATTTTTGTTTCCAAAAATATAAAACATCAAAAACTATATATCGATAACATCCCCGAACACGTCAGCTACGCGGATTGATTGAAAACAAATAGTTTTCATCGTCTCGTAAATCAAATTATTTGTAGTTTACTCTGCCCACAGACACACACACACTCACACAGCCAGTGACTGGTACGAAAGCCAGTTGGCTCCCTGCAACGCCAATAGAAGCAACCGCTGTCATCGAATCTGCAACCGGAACCAAAAACGGCACCGCAACATCCACAGCCCAAGCTACAACACGACGACGGCTGTTCAAGCCAAACATTGGCTACGAGGCCGAAAAGGAGACGGATGCGATTGTGAGTAGAGCCCGTGAACTGGATATGCTGGAGGAACTGGAGAACGACTATCTACCGGGCACGCCCGTTAACAAGCGCCTGCAAGAAGTGAAGAAGGACATGGGGATTGGGAAGAACACCCAAGTAACGCCCAAGGCCAGCCCCATTCTGAAGCTGTTGGCACCACAAACCGCACCCCCCAAAGCGATCTCCAGGAAAATAAAAGAGCAACCAAAGAGGATCGAGGGCAAATGCAGTTTCCTAAAATCGCTGGAGGGAGAGGTCAGCCGCGAGTGCAGCGACAAGGAGGCCCTCTTCTATCGGGAGAACTCTGCCAAGAACAAGGAACAGCTGGCCGAGCGACTCTATAAGATGTTCAATGCGGACGTGTTCAACAATGAGCTGGACGTGACAATCACATGGTCGAAGCGGCTGCGCAACACGGCTGGACGATGCCTGAATAAGAGAAAGTTCGTGTCCCACCACACATAATCAACGAACTTCCTCTAATCGTTTATTTCGTTTCCTCTTCTAGTGTAAACTCGCCAAACGCATCAGCACGATCGAGCTCAGCGAAGAGGTGCTGACCACAGCTGACAGACTCCGATCTACGCTCATCCACGAGCTGTGCCATGCCTCCACCTGGGTGCTCAACAACGAGGGTGGACACGGCCGTGTGTGGAAGAACTGGGCCCTTTGCGCCAACAAAAAGTATCCAGAGCTGCCCGCCATCACTGTCTGCCACAGCTACAGCATTGATTATAAGTACACGCACAAATGTGAGAGCTGCAATCTTGAGTAAGTTTTTTGTGGTTTATTCTCTGGCTGTTGTCTCCTTACCCCACACTCCCCTCACTCTTCACGCCTCTTGCAGCTCTAACTCCAGATCTCGCAAGGTGGAGAATCTCCGCTGTCGCATATGTCGCGGCCCCGTCGTTCTGCTGCTAAACAAAAAGGACAAGTTTGGCAATACCGAGTCGAAGCCGGCGGGCGAGGCCAAGGGCTTTGCTAAGTTTGTTAAAGATAATTTTAAGAAGTACAAGCAGGCCAATGTACCACATAAGGCGGTCATGAGCCTTTTGAGTGCGGCATATGCCAAGCAGAGGGCGAAGAGCATAAAAAGGATAAGAGAATGTGGCGTAATCGCCACACTGACATTAGATGATGTTCATTACCACGTCCAGCAGGATAGACATACATACATATATGTTTTGAATGTATATATATATCATATTAAGACAATTGTAAAAGGAAACAAAGTTTTCATATGCAACCGACGCTTACACCATCTCTGTTTATACCGAACAATGATTCATTATCAAAATATATCTATACTTGTGTCTATATGCATACATGCGTGTGTCTAAATGATCTTCTAAATACTACTAATAATATCATTAATCGTAGTTTTTGGATTCAGATTTGTTATGATCCGCCTTTTTGCCGCTCTGGTCTATCGTTCCCGGCTAGCTTTCGGTGAAGTCAGGGGTGTTTTCGACCCGATAGCCAGGGGACGGTGCAGGGGGGCGAAAAAGGAGGATCATAACAAATGGCGCCCAATTAAAACGAATGGCATCGGTTTTGAACGGGGGGTCAGAGATACCCTGTTTGAGAATGAGCCGGGAGTTGTGGTCCGTGCGGTGCCGAGAAGGCATCAGCATCGTTGCCCGACTCGAGGGGTCCAAGACAACTAAAACAAAACAGTAAAAGAGAGTTGGCACTCTAAGGAAAAAAAAGAAAAAGCGGAAATTAATTGCGAGGGAAAAAGATTGACCGAAACCGTGAGTTGCAGTTGTCTCTCGTCTCACCCAACAGATTGTGTAGTTGCAAGGGAATATTTGTCTTTGTTTACGTGTTTATTCTCGAGGGCTGAATATCCTCACTTACATTGGATATAGACAATTTTAGAAGTAAGATTAAATACATAGGTCAGCGGAATAGGATTTTTGTTTTGGTAGAGGAATTATTTATTTATTAACTTTAGTATTTATTTAGGCGAATAAGTGTACATGGATGTTTATTTAGTTATTTAGATTTAAAACTATTTATTTATTTAAACATTTTTTGTGGTTTAATCGCAGATGTATTTATTGAGTTATTTATTTATTTATTTTCTCGTCGTCCTTCAGGGTGTTTATGTTTTTGGAATAGGTTAGATAGTTGAGAAAGCTTCAGTATAGAAAATTAAGTAGCCGTGTTTACATATATTTATGCGAAGTAGGAATTGGAGTAAAGAGAGATTGGTGTATGAGTGAACCGGCGGAATTCAAAGGGTCGGGGAAAACTAGGCGAAGCACGGAGGTTCCGAGAAGGTTCCAGCCATACAGGATGCCGACTACTAGGTCCCAGGACGGGAAAACCGGCACAAGACCAGAAAGGGCGGTGATGGAACTGCAAGATCCGGAGGAAGGGGCTGTAGGAGGCCAGCCTCCAAGTCACAGAGACCGCGAGATACCCAGCGAACTGAGATCGGCCGTAAATGTGGCGATAGCTCAGGCTCAGGAGACGTATCAGCGCTCAGAGCCTCAATGCAAGCGGATATGCACGAGTTCATGAAGGGGATAAACGCGGTAGTTGGCTCGCTGAAAGCGGATAAAAGGAATAGAGGATCACACAACACCAGTCTGGGAGGAGGTCCGCAAGAGATACCCGCGAACCAACAGGCACAACCGACACACCTGTTCGTGGACAACCGGACGTTGGAAGCCGAACAGAGACCGAGCATGGAGCAGAGACCCGTTGAGGACTGGCTGTTCAACGTAAGGGGCCCGGGAGCACAGACAAATGTGAATAGGAGTCGGCCCAGTTACGGAGAGGCCAGGCAGGAGCCGGTGCAAATAAGGAGATGGGGACTGAGCTTTGACGGCGATCCGAAGGGGATGCCGGTATCGGAGTTCATATTCCGAGTGGAGCATTTGCAGACGGTGTACCAGGTAGCATGGGCGGAAGTGCTGAAAGCTTTTCACACTCTGGTTACGGGCCTGGCGCGGCGACTGGCCTAGCCTAGCCCAACTTCCAGGTGCGAAGGCGGAGTTCGAGCAGGAGCTCAGAGGGGGGAACCAACTCAGGGGTGTTGTTGAGTGAGTTGGTGAATCTATTTGGCTGAGTTGATTAAGTATCAGACCTCCATCTGGGGTTTACCTCAGTTCCACTGGGAGTGGCAGACGTGGCCCATGGGTGGTCCATTAGGGGGAGGAAGATCCCAAAGTGCGAGTGAAGCGACTAACCGGAATAGAGGCTCTTAGACGAAGTAGGAGGTGACCGGGCACAATTGAAGTGTTGGATTTGTGCACAGCCAGGACACACATATTTTGAGTGTGAGTCAGAAGTGCGAAAAATATTCTGTTACAAGTGTGGGTCTGACGGGGTAATCCTCCCTAAATGTCCGAAATGTCGGCCGCGAAACGGGAGAAGGAGCACGACGCAACTGGAGGGGTCGCGTTCCACGAGCAGCCAATAGTTCTGCCCTCCAACAACACGGTAGAATTACATACAGAGAACATACCTAGAATTAAGGAGAGTTATATACATAACGCAATTTATAAAATAAACCAAGCAGTGTTACCTGAGGCGAGATGGTCCGAGCGTAAGCCGTTACAGGAAAGACGACAGCGATATAACCAGGCCAGGAGAAGAATACTGGGGGACCAGGTGGCGGAAATAAGCCAAACGAGGTCGGCTAGAGCACAGAGGGCTCGGGACCGATTCCGGATACGCCAGAGGAAACGACGGGGCATATGTGCAGCAATCCGTTCTGCAGTAAGCCGGGACGACAGGCCGTTTGCACACGTGAGTCTGGGCCCGAAGACGCTGATGGGACTGCTCGATACGGGGGCATCAGTGAGCCTGCTGAGAAGAGGGGGATTGGAGATCATTGAGGAATTGAAGCTTAAGTTAAAAGACGCGAAAACTATATCGGTACAAACTGCGGGCGGCACACCTCATCAGATCCTAGGCCGTGTGATGGTAGTGATGGCATACAAAGGCCAGAAGCACCCGATGGAGTTATTCTTGTGTCCGTCATTGAAGCAATCACTGTATCTGGGGGTCGATTTCTGGCGAAAGTTTGGATTGGCTCCGCAGATAGTAGGCCTGGAACGAGAAGAGGAATTAGAAGAGATCGAGGCAGAACTGCTGACGAGAAGTAGACCGACGGAACCTCATGACTTAACCGAGTCGCAGCAAGTACGCATGGAACAGGTGAAGTACAAATTTCGGTGTTTTGACAAGCACGGATTGGGAAGGACGACGATGGTAGAACACAAGATACGTCTGGTGGAGGGAGCCGTGCCTGTGAAGGAACGCTTTTACCCAGTATCTCCGGCGGTACAGGAGCTGTTGTTTGCGGAAGTCGACGAAATGTTGCGTCTTGGAGTAATCGAGCTGAGCGAAAGTCCGTGGAGCAATCGGGTGACTCTGGTCGTAGCCTGGAAGAACCGGTTGTGTTTGGATGCACGGAAGCTGAATACTCTGACCGTCAAAGATGCATACCCGCTTCAGAGTATCGAGTCGATCCTAGTCGGTGGAGGACACCGTGTTCATCAGTAGCATCGACCTGAAGCATGCGTTTGGCAGATAAGCCGGAGCCGGAGAGTAGGACGTATACGGCATTTACGGTTTCAGGGAGACCACTCTATCAGTTTAAATCAATGCCGTTCGGTTTGTGTAACGCAGCCCAGCGGTTGTGTCGGTTGATGGACCGGGTTATCCCGCAGCGACTCCGAAGCCACGTGTTTGTGTATTTGGACGACCTGTTGGTGATTTCCCGAACGTTTGAGGAGCACGTGAAGCTATAGAGGAAGTCGCAAAGTGCCGGGAGACGGCAAACCTGACAATAGGAAAGAAAAGTCTAAGTTCTGCTACAGTACCTGAAATACCTGGGCATCGTGGGCGATGGCGCACTGAGGACCGACCCAGAGAAGGTGCAAGCGATCGTACAGATACCGATGCCGAAGAACGTGAGGCAAGTCAGGAGATTTTTGGGTACGGCGGGCTGGTATGGCGATTCATCAGAATCGCCTTTAGCCCCTCTCACAGCTGCCTGAAAGGAAAGGACAATTTCAGCTAACAACGGACGCACAGACTCTTTTGAGGAGCTAAAAAAGGCACTTACCAGGGCGCCGGTATTGTCACCCGGACTTTAAGACTTCTTCATCCAGTGTGATGCAGTCATGGGATCGGTGCGGTTCTTCAGAAGGATAGAGGAACCGAACACCCATTGCTTTCTTTCGGCGAAGCTGAGAGGCGCTCAACTATAGTGTGCCAGAGAGGAGTGTAGCGGCAGTGAGAGCCATAGAGAAGCCGGGCGTACGTAGAGCTGATGCCATTCACTGTGATCACTGATCACGCAGCCTGCAGTGGCTGATGCGTTTCAAAGCGCTGGATGGTCTCTAGCTTGCAGGCATACAACTTCGAGAGAGCATCGGAAGGGAAAGGACAACATCGCGACATGCTGTCCGTCCGTTTGACTTAGAAGCAATCGACTTCCTAGAGTTCGAGACTACAGCCTTCGAGGACGAGGATTACCTGAAAAGGATAGAGGCGGTTAAGATCGATGAAGAAATGTTTCCAGACCTGAAGGTGGAGGATGGATTGCTGTTTAGGCGTACACAATTGCCCGACCGGAATTGGAGGAGTTCCTGTGGATTCCTGAGGCGCTGACAAGATCGTTGATCCAGCAAGCACACGACAGCGATGTGGCAATGCACGGAGGAGTTGCGAGAACACTGGGGCGACTGCGGAAATGGTACTATTGGCCCCGTATGACGGTAAAGGTGAAGGCATATGTCGCGGATTGCGATACCTGCAAAGAGACGAAACATTCGACACAAGTTAGTCGTCCAATGATGGGTGCCGAGACCGTAACCGAAAGGCCGATGCAGAAGATATACCTCGACTTTCTGGGTCCATATCCTAGAACCCGAAGGGGGAATGTAGTCATCTTGATAGTCCTTGATCACATGTCTCGATTTTTTTGGCTGAAGGCCTTGCCCAAAGCCACATCGGCGGCCGTAATCCAATTCCTGCATGAAGAGGACTTCGCACAGTTTGGCGTTCCTGAAATGGTACACACGGACAACGGAAAGCAGTTTGTATCAGCCGAATTTGCACATTTCTTGACCAAAAGAAGTATAGCTCACATGAAATCTGGGAATTATGCACCACAGGCGAACGCGGCAGAACGCGTGAATCAGACCGTTCTCGCAGCGATCCGGACTTATGTCAGCGAAGATCACACACGCTGGGATGAAAAGTTGCCGGAGGTACAGGGTGCGGCCAGGAGTGCGATACACACAGTCATAGGCACGTGACCATACTTTGTGCTGTTCGGGCAGCACATGTTCACCAGCGGGCGGGACTACAAATTAGCACGGAGACTGGGAGCCCTGAACGACGCGCAAGTATCACTCGTGGCAAGACAAGACCAGTAGGAGATCGTCCGCGATGAGGTCCGGAAGAATGCGCATGAGGCCTACAAGAGATCGAAGGAGCAGTATGATCGAAAGGCGAGAGAGATCCGGTACTTACCAGGACAGGAAGTGTATAAGCGGAACTTCGTATTAAGCAATTTCAAAAACAACATCAATGCCAAGTTTAGTCGGAAGTATGGAAAGTGCAGAGTGGTCCGGAGCTTGGGAAACAGCTTATATGAACTGGAAACGCTGCAGGGGGCACGGATAGGAGTGTTCCATGCAAAGGACATCAAACAGTAGCCCGGTTCTCTCAGTCGATCGAGCATAAGACTCCGCATCGCAGGGCGTGGGCGATGGCCTACGTTGGGGTTCGTAGAATCCGAAAGCCGCCTTGGTTTTGCACTCCCGTTTCGACGGCAGGACCTTAAAACGAGAGTGTGGTGTTATGGACGTCTTTCTACAGTAGCCGATAGCCTACAGGGCTGGAGAAGAAGAGCAGACAGCGGCCTCTGGTGTGGATCCTGGGAGGCTGAAAAAGGGTTGCAAGGTGGCAAGGAGGAGAGAAGGAAACGTGGCCGTAAAGGTCATGTGAGGAGAGCAATTGTTTCCGGGAAGAAGAGAGATAGACCAGAGATAAATCGCCAGTAACGCTAAAAGAAAAAAGATTAAAAAAATAATTAAAATAAAAAAAGATATAAGTGAAGAGCCCACTACACCAAGGGACGACAACGAGGCGACGACGGCACAGCGGATTCCAGGCAATGAGCCGACAGGCGGGGTCAGCGCCAAGACTGGCCCGGCCGGAGCATCTCTGGAGGAGCACGGCAGGGAGCTGCAACCAGCGCGAACGGAAGCCACATCCATGGGAGGACCCCTGCACACCGCAGCATCACAGCATCGGCAGCAACACACCCCGTACACACACATTATACACATCACACACACAACATACACATCGCACACACCACACAAAAACCCGCATGTATTAAAATAGCAAATAGCCACACATATTAACCCCATCATGAATATATTTAAATCTGAATAATCCCTGCGCCCAACAAGCCCCGTCACATATTCACATATTCGCACTATATATCTTTATTCCCGGAACTACTTCTCGATTCACATTAATCACATATATTTTCTTTGACTTAATAGTCCACAACACATGAATTAAAATGAAATAAAATACAAAAAAAAACAACAACACAAAGTATTTTAGGATAGTTTTTTCGTTAAGGTCCGTTTAATTAATCAATGTAAGCGGAGTCTCTTTTCCCCCCGAACTCCACACCCCTTTCACAATTTATACACATGCAATAACTACTAACAAGAGCTCTTTTTAGTTTAAGTTAACCATTTGAATTTGCATTTAAATTTATATTACAGCCGGTTTGTTTACCTTAAAAATGGGGATGCCATCTCGGTCAAAAAAATAGAATCCGTGTGTATTTTTTTTTAATGTTAGTATTTTTATGTAAGTATTCCGCAAGGTGAAAGTAAGTTAGGGTAAAAATGTTTTAGGAGTTAAATAGATTTATAAGATAAAAGATATAATGAATTATATTTGAAGATTTGAAAGAAAAATGAAAATGGTGTAGAGATCCTTAGTTTGGGTGGGACGAGAAGGGCGGAAGAGTGAACCAAATGTTTTTAAATGGGAGCGCTCAACAGGTTGAACGCTCATGGAACGGGAGGGACTCGCGATGGTCAAATACAACACCGACTGACCCCGCCGAAGCGAGTGCCAACGAAGACGCGTGTATAAATAAGATCTGTCCGTTACACGCAAAATAGTATTTTTTTTTTGTTAAATCCGTCCCCTGGCTATCGGGTCGAAAGCACCCCTGACTTCCCAGAGAGCTAGCCGGGAACGATAGACCAGGGCGGCAGAAAG